GCGCACGGCCGCGCAGACAAAGGCGCGGCCGCGACGCTGCCCTCGACCTCCTGGTGCCCAGTCCGAGGCTGCAGGGCTGCTGAGCGCTTCCAAACAGCCCACCCGCCCGTCCTGGGCCCGACAGGACTCGCTGCGCCCCACACTGGGGGACCCACCCCCCACACCAAACCACACGCGCGCATACCAACGCCTGTACTCATCCCCCCCCACACACATATATACATTCAAGTATTTCTACACATGGACCGCAGCACTTCGCACACACGTGTGCACACCCAGACACACAGGAACACTCTTCTGTGTGCACAGGCCCCAACACCTACCCTCCCCACCTGCCCTCCCTCACTCCATGTTTAGACACCTCTCTGTTCCCTCATGTGGACACGCGGGCCCAAGAGCACATCGACACGTGTGTGCCCAGGCAGGCCTCCTGGCCATCCATGTGTGCCCACACTCACACCCATGCACACTTACGCAGGGTATAACGACACACAGGCAAGCCCTTTCATCTGCACCGACAGGCCCAGGCAGGCAGGCCCACTCGATGGGAATGACCAGCAGTCCTGACATCTGCACACAGAGGGAACAGTTCCCAGCTACCTACACTCACGACGTCCCACGTTGTAAAGGCCATTTCACAGGAATTCCAGAGACCACGCAGCAATAACCCGGCTCCAACTCAGGCCTCCTGTTTCCTGGTCCATCTCTCTGTCTCTCCCTGATGCTGGATTTCTATATATGAGAGTCTTCCAGATAGCAGTCTGGTGGCAGTGGGGTACTGAAGCCTTGTCTTAAAGCTGCATTTACCTAGTATGCTCTATTTTATGATTTTAGGATTTATGTTTTGGGGGATTTGGGGATGAGGGTCACCAGCCAGCCCCATGCTGCAGCCCAGACATAGTCAATGTCACCCATGAGTGGAGTGTGCTTTTGGACATTCCCCGGTGTCAGCCCCTCACCGTGAGCTTGAAGCACCACCCACTTCCACACTGCCCTCCCTGGCCTGCAGCTGTGTGGGAAAGCAGGAGAAAGCCTTCCATGCCCCCATGGGATGAGGTCACCCCACCCCTCTTGCCTCCCACGTTGGCTCCACTATTATGGCCTCGGGCAGACCAGAACAGAGTCCCTTAGCCGGAGTCAGGAATTCTTGAAGGACAGTGGGCCTGAGATGTCCCCCTGTCCTGGAGAAGACAGAGGGGCAGAATTAGGGGACACACTGAGTGGGTACGGCCTGGCAGCCAGGAATGGGGAGGCCCAGGCAGGGGAGATGGTGGCCTCTCAGCTGGAGAAGAGGCCTTGAGCCAAGTTGAGTAAGACAGGTAGGATGCGGGAGCTGGGGAGCAGCGGGGGCCCTGGGGGTGCAGAAAGCCTGGGCGGGAGGCGGCGAGGGGAGGCCAGGCTGGGCTCAGGGCTGAGCGGTAATTAAAGGAGACGCAGGGGGCTCCCCAGGGCCAGCGGGGCTGGTAACTGACACGCGGGCCCCATTGCTCCGCTCATATTTCTCACCGGATCGATACGTTTGACTCCCGACAAGACAATAATCGCTTGTACGCGGCCGGCGAGTCGATCAAATACATTATTAGAGCGAGGTCCCCCGGGGCCCCGGTGGAGAGTGGTGGGGGGAGCAGCCAGCCCACCGGGGACAGCAGAGCAGGATTCTTCACCCCTCAGAGCCCCCAGCCATGGCCTCCTCCTCTTGGCCGCCCCTGGGGACCCTCTCTGCTGCTTGGTTCCCCAGCCTCTTTCTGGATCCTGCTGTGTCTGGCGACACTTCTACTGAGCTCCCTGCTGTATGGGGACCCAAAGGGTCTTTACTCCATGAGTGCCGCCTCATGGGTAGGGCTGTAGCGTGGGGGATCTCAGAGGACCCTCAGGCCTCCAGCTTGGCAGGAGGTAGGGAGAGTGGGTTGCAGGCTATTCTGTGAGTTGACAGCTGGGCCAGAAGATGAACTTGGACCTAAGGTTCATTGACACCGACCTCCTTCCACGTTTCAGCACATCAGCCTCCAGGCCAGGGCAGCCTCTGGGGGTTCAAGGAAAGCTGGCTTAGGGACCCAAACACACGAGCAAACAGGATGAGGGGGGCAGACAGACACAGACAAACGGACGTCTGGGTGGTCCTGCAGCAGAGCCATGCAACCCTCCAAAGGGCCTCCAATACTCTCGAACCAAACCCAGCCTGGCCCAGCCTGGGCTCTGCTTGCCCACCTCCTCCCCACCTTGCCAGCTCCTGGGCTTGAGCTCCTTTTCCTGTTTATGCACCTGCTTCACCCTTGGCCCTGCTATCAGAATTCCTTCTTCGGTGGCCTTAAGTCAAGATTAAGCTGTATCTACCCCATGTTCTACTTAGGAGAATCCAGCATCCAACTTAAAATATTTCTCCTCCTCCACTGTCAGCAGCAGCAGCAGCAGCAGCAGCAGCAGCAGCAGCAGCAGCAGCAGCAGCACAGTCTATTCTGTACTAATTGAGCCAATACATTATTTCTAATCTTCATGATAATCTCAGGAGGTATGGTCTGTTATCATCCCCTTTTTACTGATGAATTGGAGCTGAGAGAGCTAAAGGCACTTGCCCCATGTAACACAGCATACGTGAATGGTAGAGTCAGGATTCAAACCCAGACCAGTCCTCATAGCTTGCTCTTTCTCGGCTCCTCCATGGACCTCCTTAAGAGCTTTGAAAAGCTTCCTGTCCTCCAGTGGACAGCAGAAAGCCACTCCCTGCCCACTCAGGAACAACAGAATCTCCTCACAGCCCACAGCCCAACCCCCACAGCTCTTAGAGTCCATTCTTCATATTCAGAAATGCATTGGACTCCTTCTATTAAAGAAACCCATCAGTTCCCCATTCAGTTCAAACATTTCCTACATGTCCCTTAGAGCCAAGCCCTGGGCTGAGGGTTGAGGACTCAAGATGAGGTTGAATCTGGCCCCAAGGAGCTCATGGTCTGAGGGGAAGATTGGAGTTGATGAAACACTCTGATATTCCATCACTGAGTCGGTAAGTATCCGATAAAGGGCCGTTGCTAAGCTCAGAGAATACAGGGTTAAAAGCAAAAACGGTTATACCTCAGTAAAGGTGGATTTTTTTAAAAAAAGCAAAACGAAGATGTTCTTTCTCCTTCTCAAAAGGCTTACAGTGTTTGGGGGAGAAACAATCTTTAAAAGCCATCAAATCATGTAATTCCAAGTTGGGAAAAGTACTTTCAAGAATAAGACACCTGATGTAAGACGAAGGGTAGCATTTCCTCAGAAATTCAATGGTTCACAGGCAAAGAATGTGAGGAAGAGCATGCAGGCCACAGGAACAGAGCAGATGATGGCCCTGAGGCAGCAAGCAACATGGCAATTCCAGAAAAAAAAAAGAAAAAAAAAAAAAGGAGGCACATATGGCTGGAACAGAGTGAGCAAGGAGGATGTGGGAGGCAGGTGGAGAGGAAGGTGGGCCAGACCACGGGGCCTCGCAGGTCAGGATAAGCATTTTGGACTTGACTGCACGCACAGTGGGATGCCACTAAGAGGGTTTTTGGCCAGGGAGTGACATGGTTCTGTAAACATTTTCATGGACGACTCTGGCTCCTGTGGGAGTCTGGTCTGAAGGGGCCAGAGCGTGAAAGAGGTCAGCTGTGAAAAAAATGGGTGATGTCCACTTGAGAGATGGCGATGGCTGGGACCGGGGTGTTGGTGGTGGGGGTGGGAAGGAGCAGGTGTCTCCAGAAGCAATTTTGAGAGGAGACCTAACAGGATTGGTGATTGGCTGAATGTGGGGTGTTGGGGAGAGAGAGAGTTAAGAATGAGGCCCAGGAACGCAGAAGTGCTTTTCCTGCTGTAGAAAGATCGGGGCAGGAAGGGTCAAGCTCGGATGAGAAGGATCCCAGCAGGGTGCCACATG